GTTCTAATCTGTCGCAATGTCGTGAAATGTCACATGGTCTGTTTCACGTGAGGTCTTGAGGGGTGGGGCAGGGTGGGCGAGAGACCAGTAATTTTCCGTTGCAATTAAAAAAAAAAAATCCCCTCCTGATGAGACTAATTATTCGCTATGGAAACCCCTTCATCTTGCAAATCCACAGGCCTCTGCCCTTTGCCTCCCAGGCGAACAAGGCGGCAAAGGGACAGGGAATGAATGCAATGCACTTTCTCCCAGAAGCAGGGCTGGTCCCACCCACTTCTCTTGTCTGCTCTGATTCGTTCCTTCAACCCCTGGGCAGGGCCGTCCCAAGGGGAGTGCGGGGCCTGGGGCAAATCAGGTGAAGGCTGGTGTGGGGAGGGGACACCAGTGCTGGGGGGCGAGGGACGATGGAGAGTCCCAGACACCTGTACTACGTGCGAGGGAGCCGCCTGTGCTGGGGGGTCCCGGAAAAGGGGGGGGTCCAGGGCGGAAGGGCAGTGGATGGCAGCATGAGGACACTGGCAGCCAGTGCAGCGGTGGCAGGCGACACCGGGAGCTGGTGGGGCAGGCTGGGGTTGCCGAAGCCCAAGACTGAGCCCAAACCCCCCGATGCCGAGCAAGAAAAAGAAACGCACCGCTCGCTTCCAGCCAGTGAGTTCAAGTCCGACCCCCGCTGCAGGCACCAAGCCTCCTGAACCCCTAACCACACCCTCCGGGCCGGCCTGGCGACCCCCGCACGACACATGCACACTGAAGCACAGGGCCCCCCAAAGCGCGGGGCCCGGAGCGGTCGCCCCGATTCGCCATACCCAAGGGACGTCTCTGCCTCTGGGAACATCCTGCCATCAGCCTCTTCTTTCCTTGCCCTAAGCACCCTTTCCCCAGATCCCGTCCAATTGGTTTTTCCGTATTTGTAACAGTCCAAGGCTGTGGATTGGTTGGTTCTTTGTGATTTATTAATTCCCAGTTACCTTCACGCCTTCCCCTCCCCACGTGCTTTAGCCGAATTCACTCAGGGCTGAATAGAGCTCTCCGGCCGGCCTCGTTAAACCACCCCCAACGAGGGGCCTTAGCGATGTCGGAAGCAGAGCCTCTCCTGCCAACCCAGCGCTGTCCACACCAGCATTTTTGTCGGGGAAACTTATGTCGGTCGGGGTGGGTGTGTTTTTTTCACACCTCTGACTGACAAAAGTGGTAATGTAGACAAAGCCTTCGGGAAACACGTCTGTACAATGGACTGCGGCCTTAATCCTCCCTGCTTCTTTCCCTCTGGGGTTGCAATATTGCTCTCCAAAAGCCGTTTCCTGTTGGCGCCGACATGCTCTTTTCGTGCTGAGTGGCTCCCACTCCCTTTGGCTCCACCTTGCGAGGTCAGCCCCTCATCTTTCTCGCCGGGGGCTGCGAAGTGATCGATTTGTGTTCCGAAGGAAAAGAATTCCACCCCTTTTTTCGGAGCTAGATCGTTCAATGACAGAGGCAGCTTAACGCCTGGTCTCTTCCAGGTGTGGGAAACCCGGAGCACATCGGCAAGCAAAAGGGAGGCGTCGCGGAAAAGCTGGTGGCAAAACGTTGCTTGTTCCAACTCCTGCTTAGCTGGAGAGCAAAGCGGCCGGATTTGCGTTGAGGTCCCTGGGTAGCCAGAATAATCGATAGTAATAAACCAATGAGCATTTCTTTGAAAAATAGGACATCTCTTCCTTTCTGTTTCTTTAGCTAAAGAGATTTGATACGGGAGCACGTCAGAGGCAAAACATCTGCCGCTCCCCACGGCATCACATTTCTACCCTCCCTCCAGCTTTCAGAGCGTGGGTGGCAAGGAGAAAATGCCATCAAAACGCAAAGTCTCTTGCCTTATTGCCGGGGGAAGAAATCTTTTGGGGGTCTGATTTAGGAAGCCGCCCACCCCTGGGACCAGCTGCCAGCAATGCGTGGAGAGCCCGGTGGCTGTTTAATTAGGTGGGATGTTGTCTTTGGTAATGACTATGGAGTGCTGGGTGCTGGAAGAGGAATTGTCCCCGCCTTTCTGGTTGATTTGGTCTTTGGGGATGTACTTCACCACAGCCGAGATGAGTTTGCCGCGGAAGTTCTTGCTCAGGAAGTTGTAGAGGATGGGGTTGGCCACGCAGTGGAACATGCTGAAACAGTCTATGATGTCGTAGAAGAAGTAGAGGAAGTTGGCAACGTTGCAGCTGTAAATGAAGTGGCTGCCATCGAGGGTCAGGAGGGTCAGTGTGACATGGTAGGGCAGCCAGCATACTAGGAACACGACGATGTAGGCGTAGATCAGGAGGCAGTGTTTCCTGCTTTCCGGCTTGGAGTGCTTGATGTACCTGGCCGTCAGTATGTTAAAGACAGCGATGATGGAGAAGGGGATGAGGAACCCAATGATGGTGGTGGCTAAGCTGATGCCCAGGGCCCACTCATCATAGGTCTCGAAGGGGGCCAGGAAGATGCACATGGGCTCCACCGAGTCCAACAGCTGTGTGTGGGCCACCTCCAGGAAGGGGAGGAGGGCGGCGAAGACCCAGATGCCGAAGCAGAGGAAGCGGCGTGCCCGGTGCTGATGCTGGTGCCAGAAGTGGGATGCCGTTGTCAAGGAGACGTAGCGGTCCACGCTGAGGCAACTGAGGAAGAAGATACTGCTGTACATGTTGGCGAAGTAGAAGTAGTGCGTGAAGCGGCACAGGAAGCTGCCCCAGAGCCAGGTGTAGTCGAGCATGGCCTCCAACATCCAGATGGGCAGAGATAACAGCACCCCTAAGTCGGCGATGGCCATGTTGAGGATATAGAGGTTGACCAGGTTTTTGTTGCCCCAGGTGTGCCAGTTGACCCAGATGACGAGAATGTTTTCCACCAGCCCCACCACGAAGATGACCAAGTAGAGGATGAAGAGCATCACCCGCTTGATGTTCTCGTCCAGATGGGTGTCACAGAAGGTGAAGGTGTAGTTCAGGTATTGGAGCAGCTGGGTCCAGTTGTGGTAGTCCCCGAACTCGTTAAAGGGATCCGGCGTCTCAGCGGGGACCGTGGTCACCTCGGCCATGGTGGACGGTGAGCGGCTGGAAAGAAAGGGAAGGCGATTTAACTGCTGGGGTTTGGCCGCAGAACGATAAGTAGGGACATGCTGTGGGGATCCTTTCCAAAGCCCTCTATGGATCCCCAGAGCTCATCCCCTCCCCCCACACAAAGACACAGGCCCAGACACACACACACACGTGCCCATGTACACACGACAACCCTCCTCCACACACACATCCCCCACAAGCAGCAACGTTTGCTTTGAAGAGCAGATCAGCCAACCTCCCCACTCAGCTGAATTGTCTCCCGCAGAGGAGAAGAACACTCTTGTGATTACGGTACTGGGCCAGGACGAAGGACATCTAGGTTCTGCCCCCAGTAGACTCACTATTGATACATCTACACTGCAATAAATGACCCACCGCACAACCGCGGCTGGCCTGGGTCAACTGACTCAGGCTTGTGGGGCTCAGGATGTGGGGCTAAACATTTCAGTGGAGGCCCTGGGGCTGGGGTTGGAGCCCGGGCTCTGAAACCCCATGAGGGGATGGGTCTCGCAGCCCCAGCATCAGCCGGAGCACAAACGTCTACACTGCTGTTTTTAGCCCCACAGGTCAAGCCCCAGAAGCCCGAGTCAGTTGACCCCAGGCTCTGAGACTTGCAGGGTAGATGTACCCTGTGAGACTTTGAGCAAGTCACTCGTGCGCAGGTTTTCAAGCGAGCTCAGCAAATTCCGTTTACTTTATCAAAGAGAAGATCCAGAAGTGACTGTGTCTAGGTACCTTCCCGGGGACAAAATCTGGTGTTAGTCTCTAAGGTGCCACAAGTACTCCTGTTCTTTTTGCGGATACAGACTAACACGTAACAGGGTGAGGTTCTCAAAGGAGCACGTCTCCCATTTCGGCGTCTAAACGAGTGGCCAGATGTACAGAGGACCTCGGCATTTGGGTTCAGAGCACTTGACTCTCCAGTCATCCGTGTCACAGTGGCGGCTGCTGGGTTCTGAGTCTCGCTTAAATGTGGAGATGCTGCTGCTGGAAACTGGGTGACAATTTTCCGACCTCGTGTTTCCCTCTGCCTCACCCACTGTTGCTACTGCTTCTCTGCAGCCGGGGAGAAACCCAGCATCAAGCTCTCTTAAAAAGCCTTCATTTCACGCACAGTCCATGCTGCAAAAAAGGGTTTCATCTCTCACCCTTCCGAGCTGCTGCGCTGAGCAAACTGGGACAGCGTGAAAACCGAGAGAGCTGAAACTGACCCTCCCCCTACGGCAAACTCGAGTCGTTCTTGGGGCTAACGTGCCAGCAATTGAGAGTCCTGTGGCACCTTTAAGACTAACAGAAGTATTGGGAGCATAAGCTTTTCGTGGGTAAGAACCTCACTTCTTGCATCTGAAGAAGTGAGGTTCTT